ACAGCTTACTCACGTCTGTTCTTATGATCAACAGCTGACCCACCTTGTTCATATTTCCATTGACCTTTTCCATAAACAACCGCATTAAGAACCGGATTTTTTTTTTCTAAATCACAGGAATAAACTTCTGATATCAAAGGTCATCCCTTAACACTTTGCGCAAAACTTACAAGGAGGTCCTACCCCTTGCGATAGGATATAGCGCCAATGTCGTCTGTAGGCGGTGTGGGCCTTTGGCTTGACATGCACGACCGTGGGACATGCAGGCGGCTGAATGGAAGTTGTGGGGACTAAGAAAGCTGCAACACTACCTTCAAAACAAAAGGGTCGTCTGAAACTACAAAACAGCATCAAAAGTCCAGTCAGTTGTCAATCCAAACAACAACAGACGATCGAATCTTACTAGACCAAAGTCCAAAGCACCATTAAGGCAACGAGCTTGTCGAAAGGGTCGTTCATACAGTACGATGACCCCATCGAGGACATCTGCCGATACATTGGAAACTACCAGTGTGAAGAAAGACTAGCTGTAAATTGTATGTGTTTTACGTATGTCTACATTCATTCATTTAAACTGTTTCTCTACATTATTTGCTTATTTTATTACCAGAGCTCCGACTCTGAAGTGCTTTGTGAACTATATCGGAGCCAATTTGGCCTTTTGAACAGCAGCTTATCTCAAGGGAACTGCGTTAGCTTGAGTTCGTACGGCTCATAATAATGGTGGTAGCGATAATTATGCCATTAATAGTAATGTTAAGGATAATGCTAATTATTACAATAGCAACACATGATTATGATGATAGGAATAATGATGATCAATATACTAACAGCAATGATAATAATATAAACTGAATTAATATTAACAACACTACTACTGTACTACTGTTATTATTATTATTTCTGCGAATACTATAATAATTTTCTATAACTTTTTAAAGGTAATAACATTTGGTAATAACAACGATAAGAATACTATGCATTTATATACCAATGAATGTCAACGGACACTAAACCATGCACACAAAATCGATATACTTAATACACACAATTGCTCATGTCTTTACACATTACACACAGGCATTATACGTGGGCCGAATGATGGGACCATGGTCAAGGCATCCTCGAAAACCGCTGGCAATACTAGTTGTGGTTTGGCTCCTCCTGACGATCCGACTCAACGTCTACATTCCTTCGGTCAAGGTGAGTCGCGTCTGCGCAGAACGGCTCTCTTTTGTGTCAGGTCTGTCCGAGGCAGTAGTGTTTACGTGTCAGTATTATCTTTAGGGCTTGTGTTTGTTTGGTATTCATTGTGTGTTTGTTTGTGGCAGGTGTGGTCGTTGCAATGGATATGTTTTATTCATAAAACGAAACGGGAGTTTGTGTTTTTGGTGTTCATTCTGGATGGGCAACTGTTGGATTCTGTTTACTTGCTTTGTTGTGGTTTTGTGTTAGTTTGTGGTTTAGATGATGTGATGTCTGATGACTATGATATGACTATCATAAAGACACAAAATTAATTCACAATTTGAGACACTTAAAATCTAAGAAAATGCTAGCCATGAGCCCTAAAAGATTTTCTTTGAATAAAAAAATAATGTAAATTAATTGCTATTTATTGGGTGAATCTAATGCCTTAGACACGATGAATCTATAGGATATAGTTCTTGCTGAAATGCGATTAAATCTTTTACAATTTCCATAGATTCCGGACGACGCACTGACGACCGGAGACTCCAGATTCGACGAATACATCCAAGAAAGGTCTCCCAGAAGGGATTTACATAACAGCCCAAGGATTGAAGATCTCACACTAATACATAGGGATAACGAGGCAAAATCATCAGACACACAGGATAATGAAGGAGCCAACGCGCCAAGGGAAGCACAAGGGAACAGAGAGTCGAACCCTGAAGTGCAAGAGAAACAGGAATCGGATATTTCTGAAACGCATCACGACAAGGGACCAAATCCTGAAAAGGAACAGAATAAGGAATCAAACCCTTATGGAATGCGACAATACCAAGACTCGAATCCCGAGACGCATCAAAAAGACAAAGACGAAAATTTTGAGATGCCACAAAAAGATTCAAATCGTGATATACAAGAAAATCATCAAATGCAAGAAAACAAAGAATCAAATAATGAATTACACAAGAATCAAATAATCAAGAATCAAATATGAGATACAAGATAAACAAGAATCAAATAATGAATTACAGGATAAACAAGAATCAAATAATGAGATGCAAGAAAAAGAATCAAATTATGAGATACAAGATAAACAAGAATCAAATAATGAGATGCAAGATAAACAAGAATCAGATCCTGAGATGCAAGAAAAAGAATCAAATCATGAGATACAAGATAAACAAGAATCAAATAATGAGATGCAAGATAAACAAGAATCAAATAATGAGGTACAAGAAAAAGAATCAAATAATGATATACAGGATAAACAAGAATCAAATAATGAGATGCAAGATAAACAAGAATCAAA